AGTCTGGAAATAAATTCATCTTTAAATGAAACTCAGCCGACTAATTAGTATGTAACCGGATAATAACTTCATGCCTTTTGACAATACCTTAAAGAAACATCTTCCTCTGAAGTTTCGTCATGTCACAAACCTGCGGCACCTGTTAACTCTGCTTAAGGTTTCTGTTTTTGATTGATATAGCAATTCGCCGAATATATTTTATCCAATTATGTAAAATATAACATTCAAAACTTCAAACTGTATGTCATCATCTTACGGTATCTCTTCTATCTACATTTCCTTTTTCCTATTCATATATCGTTTTTACTTATATTAAAAAAATAAAATTTAAATTAATTTTTACTAAGTATACGCGGGGCGCACTATAAGTTTACGGAATGAATAACAAAAAAGGACTATAAATGGTAAGAAATGAATTTATTGTTTCTCAAAATATTTTACGTTAGCGTTAATGCACTTTTTCATACGAATGAACCAATTTTGAAAACATTAATGCCACTCCTCCATGACAATCTCTGAAACATAGTTTTCATACTCTTCGACAGCCTCTTCAGGTGATGAAAATCGTTGACCGCGTAACTGGTTTGAAATTTTTGGAAATAAATAAAAGTCACAAGGTAAGGTAATAAGTTCAACGTTGTTCACCTTTAAAAATTCATTTTTCTGTCTGGCCGTGTGAGAACTGGCATTATCGTGGTGCAAGATGATACGGCGTTTACGGTTATTTTTACGGAGTTTGTCAATAACTTCCGGCAAACAAATGGTCGTGTACCAATCACTATTCACGGTACAATGATTCTCTAAAGCAACAGTAGCCACGTGTCTAGTTTTATTTAAAAAAGAAGCAATCATCCCCCTTGAGGCACTTTGCATGCGCGCCACTTTGGTTGGTTTCGGCTCATCTTGAAAGACCCACATTTTGCTCGATTGCTGCTTTGTTTTGGGATCGTAACTATAAATCCATGTTTCGTCACCTGTTACTATACCCCACCCCAAATTTGACGCCCCTTCGTTGAGTCTGGTAAGCACGACATTGCACCAAGTGACGCGATACGTTTTTTGAGCCTCAATCAAATTGTGTGGAATCCACTGAGAGCACAGCTTTTTCACACCCAAATGTTTGTGTAGTATTGATTGTATTTGACTCATGCCTATGCCTAAAGAAATCCGAATCTCGTGGTATATCACATGCCTGTCTGGTTTGATCATACGGCGCACAGCATCGATGTTTTTGTTGTTCACAGCAGTGGACGGGCGACCATCACGAAATTCGTCACTGAGATTCACACGACCGCGTTTGAATTCTGCAAACCAGCTATAAATAGTCGTTTTGCATGGTGCTTCATCTTAAAAAACAGTTTGAAGCCGAGCGAAGCTCCGCTGAGCTGTTTAATTACACTTAAAGTCGTAGAAAATCATACTACGAAAGTTTTCACGAGTTAAATCCATGGTGATGTAGACAACCAATTTCTAAAATGACGCCACAATGTAAAAACAAGTGATAGTCAGATGAAACAAACTGTATTCTACAACCAAAGAGTTCCATTTTCAAAAGTTGTAATTACTTTTTAAATATTGGTTATGTAAGTGGCCAGTTCCGGAAACTTATAGTGCGCCCTGTATACAAATTATGTCAACAAACATTTATACGGGAGTTTTTTTTTTATATTATCAAGTGACGAGACGAACAAGTGTAATAATAATAATAATATAATAATAACACACACTCAACATAGCCCCGCACTAGGGAAACCCTGTGTCGCGGGTGCCATGGACACACACATAGACAATCACAAATTACACCCAAACTCACGAGAGAAATAAATGTAGGTCATACAAATATTTCCCCCGGCCCGGGAATCGAACCTGGGACCTCTGCGTGGCAGTCCGGCGTGGTAACCGTTCGGCCACGGAGGCAATTAAAATAAGTGTAAGCTACATGCCTGTCCATAACAATTGCAGTGCCACTCAGAGCTTTAAATCGCAAAGATCTCAGGGGCCCTGCCACTGCGCCCGACACCCTGACACAAAAGTTGACAAGTCCCATGTGCCTGTAATTTCACCAGCACTCTTACCCTTCAAAACCGGACCAAAGTAATGCTGACATTACTAAAGAAATAAGTAAGGCAGTTCGCCATTGTTCTTTCCTTTTGTCTCTCTTTTTGAATTACAACTACAGCTCCATGTACAATTAACAGCAGCAGTTAATACACGGAACAAGATCCGTCAATGAGAAGCTTCGTGTGCTACCGTCTGTACATATGATATTTAAACAGGCATTCAGACATCTATTGTAACGCCACACTTTACTAATGGCATACAAGCTATAATATTAAAGATATTTTTTTCCACAAGAGACGAAATATCTATCTATACTGATATCTAATAAATTATTTATTAGACAATAATTGCAATTAAAAAAAAATATGCAAGTAAGGTACAATATAAACATAAATACTAGGTACTGAAAGTAGGTTAAAATTATATGAATAAAATTGGGTCCCCGCGGCAATATGCCCAAGATGCTGGCAGCATTGCCCCTTTGTATGATAATGCATTGGGCAAGGTAGCTGCCGGCCCTTGGGCTTCCCAGTTTATTAATTTTATGGATAAAATTATATCTCAAAAGGCCAAGGGTTTCTCAAAAGGGTGCAAACAGATAGTCGGAGCCGAGTTCCTGGTACTTACTCTATCTATCTTGAACTTGTTCATGCGATTTGATTCATGTATTAAAAATTTGTTCCAGGTGCGGATGCCTGCCAAGGTGACAGCGGTGGCCCGCTGTTATACAATAGCTATATTGTGGTAGGAGTGACGTCATGGGGATATGGATGCGCACACCCGCAATACCCCGGCGTCAGTGCACGTGTCGCCAGATACAGTAACTGGATTAATGCTACGGTCCGTTTAATTTTATATTCTTTCTTTCTTCTTTTACTATTATCTTCGATACATGTATGTATCACGTCAATGTCCTGCAAAACCGAAGGTTAACAAAAAGGCTGAGACACTCTGTCGAAGCTTCACAAGCCTTGGATATGAAGTCTCCGATCTACTGCATTAGGCCAGCGTGACAAGCTATAGCCTATAGTAAAGTTATTTTCTCGCTGCAGGGAGTCTACTCTCGTTCTCCGTTAGACATTTGTCTAACAAAACAATTACTCTGAAATAAGTAATGTTTGCATCATGTGTCTTTTTTTTTGGTCGCGTATTATTTATTTGACTGTAATTGTTTCGGACGGAGAGTACAGGGCCTGGGGCCTTACCATGAACTCTTATTACAGTTCAATATAGGTTCGTAAGGACAAAAAAGCGGGATAGTAATATACACTTCATGTAGCGCTGTCTCACAACGATTCATTTTAGGCCCTAAACTAATTCGTAATAAAAGTTCATGGTAAGGCCCCTGGTCATAAATCATCGGAGCGGAACAGCGATATTACGGTTTGTCTCTTACCTGCTTAGTGACGTACGCATAATGTGACGCGTGCGCATGCTCGTTATCGATAAAAACAAATGAGTCACTAAGGGCTCGTGGCGGTAAGGGCAGTCGGTTCGGTAGTTTATGAGCTGACCTGCTCTTGTTTAAATGTTACAACCTTTTTTATTTTTATACCGTTCACTGTTTGAACATTGACCCAGTCACAATTGATAGTTTTTATAAAAATCATATTTCACATATAGAAACCAATATTACGGCTCACGGACTTGTTGTTATCAATAATGTGCTATATAAAAAATTGAACATCATCCATATCGATAGCATTTATCTACTGCAGTAATGCACGGGCCTTCGCTTAAACAAAATGCCAGTACCTGCTCGTAACCTACTGTTAAGTGGGAGAGAGAGCGCAATATCGCTGTCCCGGTCCGATAATTCATGGCCAAGTTTGCAGCGAGTAAATAATTTACTATAGAACTTTTCCTCAGAAGAGAAGCCAAGCAGAGAGACATAATAAGTTGGCGAAAATAGAACAATAATTTATTGCATGAACACCCATCCTAAGTTACCAATAACACGGGATAAAATCTGTAATGACCACAGAGAGTAACTCTTTGCTTATAATTATCCTAAGTTTAAGACTTTTGAACTTATAAATGGCGCGCCCGTATCCATTTTGATTCGTGTTCTTAGTTGTTGAAATGAGTTCTGAGGGTGTCACCGCACTTATTTGTAGATGCGATCGTGTTTAACCAAACTTGTCGCATTAAGCCGAATCGCCGTTAACTTAATCATTCGACTCGAGGAGTATGATTACCGATACCGGATGCCCCTGCTATTCGGTCGGGTGCACGAGTCCAATGATTCTTAAGTCGGAACTACTCGGAACCATTCACCATGCCCACATCAAAATATCCACTCACATTTACGGTATTTACCATATATCAGAGACGGCTAGGCAGAAATGCTCAATAGAATGTATGGATTAGTCATTCTAATTAGTAGGAGTAGATAAGATAAAATTATGATTATGATGAGTTGTTTCTAAACCAGGATCTGCCGTCATCGGCATGCGTACGGACGGACAGTAGCCGATTCGTTGCCGACATGTGTGGAGCCGTGTTCGTACGAACCAATGCGAAACGCATAACGGTTTTTTCGCTCTTACGTTCACGGACATAAAGCATTGTCTGACCTGTTTAATGCGATTCTGCGTTAATAAGTGTGGTGACTCACTAAGATGACGAATGTCCTCTAAATTCGATTAACATATTGATATCTATAATCTTGTCATAATGTATTTCCGCTTACTGTGTTAATTGTTCTTGTCGTATGATAATTTTATCACTTTTTATCGTTATCGTAAGTAGACCAAATTGATCGATTGAATTGTATTATTTTTGTAATTGTTTCCGAAAATAATACCCGGTAGTCCACCTCGAAATACCAAGTTTAAGTACTGTCACCTTGCCTATTTCTGCCGCCAAGCAGTGATGTCAGCATTACTGTTTTGAAGGGTAAGGGTGCTGGTGAAACTACAGCCACATGGGATTTGTCAACGTATGTCAAACGGTGACGGGCGCTGTGGCAGTGCCCCTTAGATCTTTGCAATTTAAAGCTCTGAGTGGCACTGCAACTGTTATGGACAGGCGTGTAGCTTACCATCAGGCGCACGACTTGTTCGTCCCGTCACTTGATAGTACAAAAAAAACTAAATAAGAATGATCATCCTTTCAGCTTGGCATTCGACGGAGGTTAGCACGAAACGCGTACGAAGATCGTGATTTGACATAAGTCGTTACTCCGATACGTCAAATGACAGCTTTCGTATCGAATTTTGATATTGCTTTCATCGTAAAACTGACATGTATCGTATTTCGTGGTAGTCTTCCTGGTATCAAAGTACCGAATAGGTACCTGTACTGTAAGGAATTAGCTATAGTTTGATATATCGCACACATCTGCAAAATGACAACTATGCAGCAGAGAGGTTCATAGATTCCTCGATCAAAATTAGTGGATAACTTTTTTAGGAGACTGAAAAAATTTCCTACAAGGCATAATTTGTTTTACGTACTTCGTATTAAGTTTATGACTTTCATATGTGATAAACGCCTAATCGTTGATTGATGACAAGAATAAACTAAGTGGCCGCTATTGACTGCCGTTGCTTGTACACAAAAAAAGCCCAGAGGCCTTATTCAGAGTGGCCGCACGCGCCAGCGCCTGTCTTGTGGCGGCGGTAGCGGTGGCGGGTAGATCTATTGCGTCGATCCGCCCGTACCTTTCACAGTGCTTGGTCAAGCGTCTAGCGTCTGTTTGCGATTTCGACGTGTGGATCTACCCGCTCGTAGCCGCTTCGGCTCTGTGAAAGGGTAGACGCCAAGACCCGCGAGCCCTTAGTAACAATTTTGCGGCAGCGATATTACGCTCTCTCTCTGTCTCTCTCGCTTAACAGTAGGGTACGAGCAGGTGGCTATTGGCCTTTTGTTTAAGCGAACAAACGCTACCGAATTACTACAAATGCTACCGAATTATTGATAACAATACGTGCTTGAACCGTAATATAGGTTCCGATATGTGAAATATGATTTTTATAAAAACTATCCATTGTGACTGGGTCAACGTTCAAACGGTGAATGGTATTTTCAAACCGGTAGTTCCAAACAGGAACGCAGCAAAGCTGACATTTCCTCTGTTCCCTGGACGAACTCTTTCATAAGGAACTCTACTGCTTCCATTATAGCGGGTGTGATACAATTTTAGGCGGACAAGGTCCTAACATTTATGAACCCTAAATCAGTAACGCCAGTGTCTTCGCCCCGAAATCTAAATTTTTGTGTTGTCAATAAAACAATTTCAGTTCCTTTTTAAATACACTACGTTTTATAGAATCTGTATTTCTTTTTTTGCAGGTGACCAACATTAACGGGAGCCCATCTGTGAGCGAATCGAGAATAATTCTACTGTTCACACTCATCTGTGCAATGCTCCACTGGCACTCCAGTTAGGCAAATCTATTTCATATGTATATAAGTTATAAAAAAGGATTCAAAAATATCTTTTTTCAAGTTTTTATATATTGTTTTAATTTTATTTTTATATTTATTTCACCTATATGATTGATAATTATGGTTAAAATAATTAAAACATAAAGGGAACATTCATTTCTGTCAGCTTAAACTACCTCTCTCCGTAATCTTTAGCTTACGCACAATACCTCTGGAAGCAGAAAGTGGCTGAAAAAGAGGGCTGTTCGTAATGCTGATTCCATTTCAGCGTTAATAGAGCTTTCAGAACCCTCTTTTTTATACTTATCATCGTCATCGAGTGTATAACCAGAAATAGAGACGAAATGTCATTTAATTTCTTTAAAAACTATTCTGTCATATCATTACGGTGACAACTGCGCTCCGATTGGCCAGTCCGAATTTGAAACAATTGACGGGTGTCGTCAATTTAACTTGAGCTTTGCTATAGTGGACGAAAATTGAAAAATTACATTTAATATTTAATTACCGATGAAATGTGATACCGTTTGTTTTGTAATTAGATGTTTTACTATTTTTCCCACACCACCGAATAGAACAGCCCACCATTGTTGGAGATATTATCTTTATTACAATAAATACAGAATATTTTTGGAATATACGGAGACCCAGGTCAGTTGTTGGCGCTGTACTATTTCAGCTTTCTATTTGTGATTTCAGCGCAAACGAGAGTTGATATTTAAAAGTAATATAAGGCCCCTTTGCCCCTTTGCCTGATGAGTTGCCAGGGATGGATTTGGATGGCTCTTATTTCGTCTTTATTTCTGGTTATATACTCGATATTTAAAGTCAACTTTCCTAGTTTAGTTTCTGTTGTGACATGTGAGAGGCAATTAAACATAATATATCATCAATTTTTACACGAGTTTTTTTAAACAAACCTAGAAACCGTGGTAGCCAATAGCCCCCTTTAAGCCGGATACTCATTGGCGAATTGTGACGTGATAGATACAGGAACGAACTTCTAGTGTGTATGCGTGAAACAGTGTTCACTCGGTAGAACGAATACCAGAGTCGGCTCACTGCGAATCGTACGCGTTTCGCTCGCGACAAGATGGCGAGTCACGTACAATGCTTCTATTTTCTCAATGCCCCTCGGCAAACTTCGTGTTTCCGCTGTCGTCGGGTTTTATTCAGTTGCCCTTTTGCCTTTGGTACAGACCGAACGCTTTCAGGGTCGTATTCTAGAACTCTACTCAATACTCAAGTCAGGATTGCACTGGAAACACAAGCATTGGAAATACGACCCTAATGGCAGGGACTTGAGTATGATTTCGAGTGCTTTAAACCATATTCAAATCCTGACTTGAGCATTGAGTAGAGTTCTAGAATACGACTCTCAGTCGACTTGGAAGTATATAAAGTTGCTATTCATTTTTTATTTACTATATAATGGGAGAAAAGTCTCTAAAATCACAGGTCCGACAGATAATTTACTGCGTGTACATTTTTTACAGCCGATACGTTCAAGAAAACCAACAATGGTTCTTTTCAAAAAGTCCAAAAATGTGTTTGTGTAGCTTGTGGTGTTTCAATCGGAACAGTAAAGAATATTTTAAAAGAATATAATAATAAAGGTAAATCGTAGGAAATGAAACCATTTTTAACCGACTTCAAAAAAAGGAGAAGGTTCTCAATTCGACCATATGTTTCTTTTGGATGTATACGATAACTCCGGTATTTGGAAGGTCATTATTTTCGTTTTTAAGTAATTTATTTCCAGATTGTGATCATTCATCCAGTTGACTGTTTTTTTGTGATTTGTGCACCGATTTTCATGATTCTTTTTTTGTTGGAAAGAGGTACCTCCGTAGTGGTCCCATATATTATTTAGAAGAAAATCATCCACCTCTAAGAGTGGCTGTTCACGCATGAAGATTCATTAGCGCCTAATTTGTATTATAAGGAGCAATTATTTTGATGGTTGATTTTGCTATTCTCTAATTCAAGGCGTTTTTCTCTCTCAATATACTTTGAGTAGTGAGAACCGATTTTTATTATCTCCTGTGTCAAGTTCCGTATAGTGGCGAACTAGGGGATGTATCCGGGTTTACGCACTTTCCGGTAACTGATTTAAAAAAAAAACTTGACAAATCAATGTAATTCCACGTACTTTTGAGGTCGGTTTTTTAACACTGTACCGAAATTATTCCGGATTTAAATCGCTTATATTTGTTTTTTCAAACAAACCGACGTTACGGGCCTTTTTCCGGTCTCATGGTCACGGTTGACTGAGGTGATACAGTCATCAACCGGTTATGTCTAATATTAATGCAAACCACCCTATTTTTTCCACTATAGTTACAAAAGTTATTAATTAAATACCTTATTTTTAATTTTACATAGAAACATTCTAATTTACTCTACATTACGTTTTACAAATTATTTTATTGAATGAATTTTTATTAAGTTAAATTTATTTATCATAATAATAAATTTGACTTTAACAAAAATTCATTAAATAAAATATTTTTTTATTAAGTTAAAATTATTAATAATAATAATTTTAACTTAATAATTATTATGTGTAACAATCTCGAAAACCTAAGAACTAGAAATGTAAATCAGTCACTTTTCAGACACCTAAAAAGGTACCTACGAAAGAACAATCGATATCTACATTTCGTTTGTGACCGTTAGGATAGCTGGTCGCCTGTGATGTCTGGCACTAAGTGTATATTCAAGAATTACTACCTATTTGCTATTACTCGTATTTGCTACCTTTTCTAAATAACTGCTACCTTTGATATATTCTGAGAAATAAAAAAAAATAATTGACCAGCCAACCTGATATCAGAATGGTCGCCACTTTGTTCAGCATAAAGGGAGCAGATTTTCCAGACTAATACGTATAATTACATACTATTACCAATAATTGCTACTTTCACTAATTAAAGATAAACACTTCTTATATACGTTAGTTAAAAAAATATTAAACTTTTAAGCAAGCTTCCATGTTATGGGCTTCCCACTGACCTTTGCAATTGGATCTCGGATTTCTTGAGTTAACGTTCCATTCGAGTGGTCTTAGAAGGCTACTCTTCCGAACATATGGCGATAGATAGAGTTCCTCAGGGTTCCGTACTGTCTGCAACTCTCTTTCTGCTGCATATCAATGATATGTTAATACCAGGTACCTTTGCCTATGCTGATGACAGCACAGTTGTAGATAGGTACTTGACCAATGCAAAGGTCAGTGGGGAGGAAATCCAGTCTTGTCGAGAGTCCATGGTTAGCCGTTTAGATTTGACGCTCAAGGCAGTCTCCGATTGGGGCGACGCCAATCTTGACAAATTTAACGCTACCAAAACGCAGGCGTGTCTATTCTCCACTAAACGGAGTCCCTTTGAGCTGACTCCGACTTTTCGTGATATATCCATACCGATAGCCGACCGTCTCCAGCTACTTGGAATGGACCTGTCGTCCAATCTAAACTTCGGCAGATACATTGAATCCATGGCCAAAAATGCAGCCAGAAAGCTTGGCATCCTTTCCAAGGTGAGGCGTTACTTCACACCGGGACAGTTGCTTCAGCTGTATCAAGCACAAGTCCAGTCATGTATGGAGTACTGTTGCCACCTTTGGGATGGCTCTGCTACATAACAACTGGCTACCTTGGATTCAAATTGACAAGCGTGCCAAGAGGCTTATAGGTGACTCGGAACTAGTAGAGGCGAAGCTGCAGAGCCTTGAACACCGCCGTAAAGTTGCCTGCTTATCGGTATTTTACAGGATATATCACGGAGAGTGTGCGATGGAATTACACGATTTAATTCCGCATTCCCCTTTCCATCATCGAGGGATTAGGCGTAGCCTTGGCGGGATATTCCAAAGATTCGGCTATGGATTGCAATTCCCTGCCTGCAGATTTATTCCCTGAACGTGATAACTTGGACCTTTTCAAGGCGAGAGTGAATAGGCATTATCTAGGCATGCGTGCTCCATCGTCGACGTCATCGTCACTTTCCATCAGGTGAGATAAAGGTCAAATGCACACTTTCATTAGAATTAAAAAAAACGATTGAAAAATTTACGAAGTGCCTGATTAAATTAAATAAGCAAAAGTTCTAGTACTTAATTGCCATAATATAAAGGGCAGGCGTTCAACAATTACTTCGAGGCGAACAAGCCTAGTGAGGTTGCTGATATATAAACCGAGGTTTATCAAACTTTATCCAACAAATAATTTTGAAAAAGCACTAAATTACTCCATTTGATTACGTTACTTTAACCAACCACAGACGACTCGATACCTTTTCATCTCGTACACAACTCCGCACAACACACTCGCATAGATTCTTTTGCTTTCTTGGTACTTTAAATTATATCCTTTTTTGAAATGTTTCGCCATGAATAAAATAGAATGTAAAAATTGTGGCTTAAGATTAAAACCTAGAATGAAACAGACGACTTGCTGGAAGTTGTTTCATAATTATTTTTATATAGGTAACCATTAATTTATAACTATTGACTACTTTATTGTTAAATATAGAAAATCTCTTTTTAAGCTGTAATATAAAGAAATTTGCCCAAAAATATGCCTAAAATACAGGTACACATTTACTTATTTTAGGCATCGCAATACACATAGGTACACATTAGATGTTAATATTAAAGTGTATATATAAGCTTTACTATGAAGAATGCATAATTTAGATTCCGTTCTTATTCTTATTTGAATACTATATGAGGGAAATAAAATATAACCAGTGCATATAAAGCAATCAATAAATGTATTTCGTAATTTAAGACAAGATTAATTAACACTGTGGCACTGACATTTGTAATTTAACATATTTTACACAGCAATAATTTATTACATAGCCATCACTATACATAGAAATATTTATAGATTACCTGAGTAGAGCTCTGAATAGTTGTTGTCTTAATCGGAGTCGATTAAGGAATGCTTGCCGTCTGTCATCCCGACAAAAGCGCGGCGGTATTCTTCACGCGAAGTAACCTGTCCAGACGTGGGGTACAAAACCTAACCCCGATTTCGCTCTTCGCCCGCTCCATCCCTTGGGAGAACACGGTCAAATACCTAGGAGTTACGCTCAATAGGAAGCTGTCATTCAAAGCGCACGTGAAAACCTCCGTCGCCTCCACCCCCTTCTCAAGAAGCATA